TAGTTATTGGCCATTTTCTGTATGAGAATAGCTACAATGTGCGGGCAACAATGCTTCTGGAGTCTGGTCTTTATCATATGGAAGTTCTCATTCCATTACTTTTCCTGTAGACCATTTTGAATTCATTGCCTAATTAGAAAAATGGGGATTAGCCAGTCATCACAGATGATATTACCAGGCTTTTGTGTCCACAAGAAAATACGTAGTTTTCTTCTGATGCTAGTAAACCTGCTATTAAAATGAAACTGGTTAAGATGAGGTAACAATTCACCTTTTTAGAAAATGAAAATTACACAAGTTGTGGTATGGCCAAGCCAAAAGCCAAATAAAAGGTTGAAATTAAGATCTGAAGTGTGGAGTTGGTCCTAGTTTTAGTGGAGATTATGGAGAGACGTGAGCAGTGTCTAGACAGAAGAAAATTATTTAGTTGAGCCTCCATCTGTGTGCTCAGAAATGACAGGCAAGTTCTTCTATGATATGCTGAAAAAATAATATTGAAAATGGTGGTGACTAATCTGAGATGGGCATGTAAGCCTTCATATGAGATGAGTGTGAATGCAGAACTAGTTGCAGATGCACAGTTGAAGTTCATCCATACTTGTGTATTGTTGTACAGGGGCCGCTTTCAGTCTAGCTGGCTAACTTCTGAGCAACGTAAGAGTTTGCACTGCAGAGTTCACTGAAAGATATCTGTTGGCAAATAAGACAAGGAATTGGATCCAAGTCTGGATTTCTTTATTTTAAACACATTAGTGATTGTTCTGTAATATTTGATTAACCCTCTGGAAAGTCTGACGAAATCTCATTTCAAATTAGAAAAGATTTATTGGGTGGCATATGTAAGTTAGAGTGTTGGTGCCCCAGTCAGTGTGCAAATTTTTTAATATAAAGTTCATTGCAATTTTATAGCAATTTCAGGTAAAAACCCCTCTCTTTTCAGTGCACACGATTTTGGTAAAATGATGTCAATATGTAAATTTTGTCAGGGACAAAATGGAAGGTTCTAGTGAGCAGAGCAGAAGGAGGTTTTGACAGAAGTCACAGAAAGCAACATGATTCTATGTCTTTTGCTGTATGCCTGTTTCCTGGTTATTTCTTTAACCAGGTTTTTCATACATGCTAGGCTTCAACAGTCTGGCTGTAGACAATGAGATTACGTGTGTTTTCATATTTCCAGGGGTTTTCTGAAGCTGTAACAACTAAAACTCAATTTTGATGTTGCATTCAGAGCATAATTCTTATACAAGATCTGGGTTTTGTAGCAAAACTTGGAGCCATGGAACACAGAAACACTGGAAGCTCACTCTGTTTTTGTAATGTTTTAAATATTTTAAAATACTATTTCTTAAAAAGCTTTATTGGCTAGGGTAGGAATATAGCCTTCAGGCAATCAGTCAGAAAATCAAGCACACAAGCTGCTACTCCTTTTTGCTTCAAAGCCTTTAGTTTAAGATTTTGCTTATTAAAACAACTTCCAAAGTCCAATAGTGTATACAATACTGTTCTGCTAAATAAAATGTTAATTTAGAAGATCCTTTATCTCTAAAGGAGGTCAATTTACTGTTGCAGGGACACTACTCTCATTGACTACAGTGACAAATTCTTGCATGTTCTCAGAATAATTATTATAATGCTGAAATTGTAACAATTAAGACATTCTACAAGGATCAACTTGATAAACATCAAATTCTGCTTTAGTAAAGTTTCTACAATGTATGTTATAGGTAGTTGTTTACTTTGATTGTAAAAATACAAGGAAGATGAAAGAAGGTGCTGTTTGAGAGAACAATGTAGCACATTTTGACATACGGTTGAAATTGGATCACAATAAAATAGCTTAAAAGTATTTTCAGATGAATGAATCTAGTGCTTAGGGTAAATAGACAACACTTTAAGATATGGAAAAAAAATCTTGTACATAAATATGTAACTGTATTCAGAAGTGTTTGTGATAAACTTTATAAATTTAGAACTTCTGAAAAGAATAGCACTGCTGCAAAGTTAACAAAATGGCTAGAAATGTAATGGCCAATTGTTAAGTGACAAGCACAAGAATTCTAAAGTTAAAAAGTAATCTTTATTTAAATCAGAACTTGTGTTACAGAAAATTTGTGTAACCATTGTGTATTTACCCTTTCATCAGTGAGAATCCGTTATAATTGATGTGTGTACTGGGTGGGTAATTGAATTTTTCTCCAGGTGATTTGTTTTTATAACTAGTACATACTTTGTTTGAATCTTTAGTTACTGAATTAAAGATATTTAATAAGGATTCTACAGTCAAATAATCCATATTAATTCCTGTAGTTTAAGGCAGTACAGCATAAACACGGCTTTGATGCAGTGTTCTTGAGTTCTTTGAAGAGAGCAATATTCTGCCTCCATGCTGTACCAATGACAGTGGATTTTGTCTTGCTCTTTTTTTAGTCTGTAGTATGATGGTATTTAAAAAACAAAATGTTCGGCTGCATGTAGGTCAGTTATTAAAATATTGTCGGTCGTTTCCTTTGACAGAACATTTCTATTGTATTACACCAATGTCATTAGGAAAAAAGGTTATTCCCTCTTGTCTGGCTGATATCAATACGTACTGGCATATTACATCCTCTGGCTTTCTGGAAATACTTTATTCGAGCAGCAGCTTGGGAACAGGAAATTTAAAGTTATACACAGTCTAGTGTCAGACTGCGTGATACAAAGTGTTTCCTAGAAGACGCTGTCTACATGACAAACATGCTGTCGTATTTTGTAGAATTGAATAAGCTTGAATGTGTTCAAGTTGGGAATTAATTTTTACCAGCTGTAGATGGCAAACAAGGTAGAACAAAGCTTCCAGTCACTCTGTAGCATGTATTTGAGAAACTTGTATGAACTGTGTTAGTATCTCACCCATTCACCAGTTACTCTGGAATATGGTTTACCTTTTAAAATACGTCAATGATAATATTCCCATTTAATAGGTGTTCTTACTGTCTCGGAGGAAAAAAGACAGTACTTTTACTTCAGACCATGGCCAAATGTGCAGTAGCTTCTAAAGGCAGAAGTTCAAGGATAGGATCTTAGCCACGCTGGGCAGCCCTTCTACCAGAATCATAGTGAGCAGGAGAATAGCAGTACAGTTTAATCCTGTAACTGTTCATTGAACTGTTCATTCATCTGTGTAAAACAAAGCAAATTGTGATCAGCAGTTATGTCCTGTTGTGTTTCTTAAGTGGAACCTGTCATTCTTCTGTGAATCCGTAAATTATGTAAACATTGGGTCTTTTTCAAATCTGTACTCTAGAGGTAAGTGTTCCCCTAAGTGCTACATCCACACTCCAAGATTTTAAATTTTTCTTGTTTTATCAAAGCAAGAACAATGTCTGCATTTCTGATGAATGAGAGTACCACCTTCCAAAACTTTGTTTCCTCCAACAATTTTCTTTACGCGTGACAGAAATTTATAGTTTTCATCCTAATTGTAGGAATGAATGATGCGTAGACAGCTAATTCAGCACTGCCAGCCACAGTAATTCAAAAATCATTGATCGTGGTGCTGAAAGTCATGACAGTGGTCTAAATCCCATGTTTATGAGATAGAAAAAGGATTGTATTTCTTTTGGTTTTGTCTTTTTTTTTTTTTTTTTTTTGGTCTACAGGTAGTGCAACCACAGATTTCTTTGCCTCTCTAGTAGCTATTAGCTTAAATGAGAAGGGGTGGAGGGCATGGGTAGAATGTAGCTAAGATTCTCTTAAAATTGACCCTCTCCAGGACAGGGGACTTCAGTAAAAAAACATATGGTAACATTTGAGATAAAATTGCATTAGTAAACATTATTGGGTTTTTTCCTCCAAAAAAAGCAAGATTTTCAAGGAAGGATAAGGTATTCCATGTTGCTTTCATGACAAATTAGGCTTGTATTTTTTAAGTGATGATGCTGAAAATGAAAAATTCATTTTGATTACATCTTAACATATATGGCTTAAGAGGGGAACAAATACAAAGTTGTGGAAAGAGAAATAGTTGAAGTATTAAGTACAAAGACTTAAGTACAAAGCGTATGGGCTTTTGCATCAGAACTGCCTCATGTCCTGTCAGCATGTAGTACAGGGTGAGTTCTCGTCTGCCCATAACATAGATCCATTCTAGGTCAACCAGATGTAGGCATGCAGCATTGATCATGTGCGGTATGGTTTGTAACACAGAAAACCTTCCTGAATAAAGCTTACTGTGCGTGGAAGAGCAGTCTAAGCCAATGTTAGAGTAGTTAAACTGAGAAATAATGTTGCTACTGTGCTACTGAAAGAGTTATCTTTATTGTGTTAACATTTTTATTTCTGTTACGTGTGTTTCCTGATATATAGTCAACTTGTAATAAAAACTTCTTCCCAGCACATGGAAGAGACTTGTGTATGGATGGCATTTGTGTTAAGGGGATGGTTCAAGGTAATTCTAGTGAAGAGACAGTCAAGGTGAAGTAACGCACAAGGTTGAGGCAACAGAAAAGAACCCATTTGCTCCATTACTGTCAATACTATATCCACTGTTTGAATAATGGAGCAGAGTAGTTTCTGTAGTTGGTGTAAATTTGGCATATTAACTTGACTGACTGCTTTTTGAGTCAGGTAACTGGCAGAGTTGTACCTACCTGATTCCTGTGTATTCCATATCAGTTTGATTTATTTTATTTCTAACTTTTTTAAGTTCTCAGATGCAACAGTATAGTTTTAGGGAAAAATGGAATCATAATTTGGGCCTATCTGTGCCTGGTAGTAGCCCCGTTATCAGCTTTCTGGTAGGTCCCTATATGCAACTCTTTTTTGACATGAAGGCTTGCTTTTGCTGTTTGACCTGGTTTTCTTCCAAAGTATGATACAACCTTTGCATTTAATATTATGGTTTAGCTTTGTCCCAAATCTTCCACATGCATATGTGCCTCTGGTATCAGTACGGAAGGAGGAGTGCTTGTCATTCTGTTGCAGTAAACAATTTTGGTCTCTGTTCTTTTCTAATTCAACAGAATTTAGCCTCTTGGAATCCTTCAAACCCTGAATGCCTCCTGCTTGTTGTGAAAGAGCTTGTGCAGCAGTATCACCAATTTCAGTGCAGCCGATTGCGTGAGAGCTCTCGTCTCATGTTCGAATATCAGACTTTACTTGAAGAGCCGCAGTATGGAGAAAACATGGAAATCTATGCTGGCAAAAAAAACAACTGGGTAAGCTATTGAGAATATTTCTGCTAAAATGCTTCTAATGATCCTTTCATTTTAACGAATACAGCTCTTGCCTTGGAAAACTTAAGTTACCTCTGTGGATCTCTATGCTTTGTTTCCAATGGAGAAAACTTCCATTTGACTCCAGCTCACTTTCTGTACTCCCTCTTTTGTACATTGCTGTCATTCCACTACCTTGGTTGAATCAGATTTCCATGTGAGCAACTGTTTTTCAACGTGATGTTAGTTCATCTGATTTATAGATGAAAGCTTTGAAAAATGTTGTAAAGTCTATGCAGTATTTACAGGACACGTTACAATGTTATGTGGAAGAGTTAGCTCTGAAGACTTGAGAGGCAGAGTAACAGTGTTGGTATGACACCCTGCCCAGGCAAATCAGCCTGCTAAGGGAGTCAGATGTATTAGGGTGTGGTTCCACATTATGATTGAGTTAATTTAATTGGTAGCTCCAGCTGCCTGTATCTCTCTAGGACTTGTCTAAGCTGAAATGAGTTGTTTCAGGAACCTAAACTGGAGAGGAAAAAAAAAGAAGACATATACCCCTCTTGCTTTCAGGAACAGCATACTCTTAAGAACCAGTATCTTCTTCTACCAGGCCTTCAGAACCAGTATCTTCTGAAATAGGTACAGTTTGAAAATCAATGTAAATTCAGAATTCCTGTCATCAGGGCCTAGAATTCAGCTTTGTCACTTTAATTATCCTTAAATTACAGGTGACACAAGGATGATTACTTCACAACTCACAGTACTCATATTAATCTGTTTTTCTTAGACAACTCATCTAGGCTTTTTTATTTTAAGCCAAGTAAAATTTTATCAAATAATTTCAGATCCCTATTTTTATGTTTATAAATCAGAATACTTCATTTAAATTAATTTGTTCTTAAATGTTATTCTCTGTAGCTGTTGTCACAAACAACTTGCCTCATCTCTAAATATCATCAGACTGGTTTATTGAAATGCATAAGGCTTTCTGAACTGTGCTTGTTTTATTATAGTTTTTAGCAGCTTCCAAAATTCTACTCAAGATTGTTGAAATCTTGGGTTTTTTCCTTTTTTACCTGGGAAAGCCACACCTACTCAAGCCTTTTGAATCTTTCCTCCGTCTTTGGTGACTGAATAAAGAACTTTTTTGCATTTGAAATGCTGTCTTAGTTAAAAATATTCAAATAAATACATTTTGAGGCAAATCTTTTTCATCATTGCAGAGCTGTTTGAGGTTTCTGTAGCATGTACTTCGTTTTCGAAGTTTACATTCTCTGTGAAGAAGACTCTGAGGGTCTCATTTGGAGATTTTATTAACCTGGTACCTACAAGGCAGGGGCTTGTTTATGAGTGTTCTAAAACTCAAAACTATAAAACTAACTTGTGTAGTTGTCCTTCTTGTCCTTTACAAGTGTCTTGTTAGTCTTTATGATCAGCGCAATAGCAGTGTTTATCTGAAAAGCAAGTGGTAAACTGCATGTTATCTCCTCTGTCTCAAAGTAATTGAAATTTATGTTGCTGTCTCTCAGGAATCAATAGTGGTGCAGCAGATTTCAGAAATAATAATCTATGAATGAACCTTGCACAGTGTTATGAAAGTAATCATCTTAAGTGCACGAGTTAATAAAAAAAGAGAGTTTGAAGAAGAGGCCTGAATTCAGTGCTGTTTCCCAAAATGGGACAGAAATTTGCTTTTATACCTTTGTTCTAGTACCGCCAATTTCCTGAAGTGATCTCCAAGATCTGTGACAAATAGACAAATCGTTATCTAGCTTTGTAGCTTCATGTTGGCAGAGTACCAGCTGATATGGATGCCCGTTAACTATCTACTGTCTTAGTGGTGTGGCCAGAAATTCATCTGACTGGACCTGATGCCTGTGACCAGCTGGTTGGGGTTGGATAGGCGAGCACCATGGACAGGGACTGCTCCCTGTCCATCCCAAACACTATTGGAAGAAATATGTTGCAAAATAATCTTGATTGAATGACATAAAAGATCTAGACTGGAAGTCCTCATTTACTTCCACATCTTGGAGCAGCTGGTGTTTTGATCAGAGGCCATTCATCTGTTCAGTGGCCATTCCAGTTCACCAGACTTGGTATTTTACCAGAAATAACTTTCTGGATTTTATGGCCAATGTTGTACGGCATCTTTTTAAAAGTTAAGTCCGGACAAGAAGCGCTGTCTGTAATACCCATTTCACTCTGAATAAAAAGTGAGTTAGTGCCCTAACTGTCATCAAAGCAGTCTTTGTGTTATGCATGCACAAGAAGTCAGTGATTTTTCTGCATACATAAAGTAAAACAACATCAGAAAGTTGGCATCTATCCTCACAAGTAGTGTCTTCAGGAAAGTTTTCAGAGCCTGGCTTTAATGTAATATTTACTCACTTTTTGTTGCATAGTGTTTCTGTGTGCAATTGCTTTGCCTCTATTGTGTGACTACCAGGCACAAATTTTAAGGGCAGTTCTGAGCTAGTTGGCAGCAGGTTGGATTGCAGCCTAATATCACACAAACCCTTTTGACAAATGATGTAACTGGCAGGGTACTGTTGGAAAGGTTTTATTTGCATTCAAGATCTTGTTTTTTCTTGTTTAGAGACTGGAAGGTAGAGTGAGTTGTCTCTAGTTCATGCCTGATATGTAGACCAAGAAGCAAATTGGCCTGATATTAGCATTGCTTATTGTACATCTGCCTGCCTAATACAGCTTCTTTGTCTAGATGTGCTTAGTTGCTTGTGATGAAATCTTTGCTTGCTTTAAGCATAAAATTGAAGGAATCCAGTTCTGTAGAATGTTTTCCTTCTCAATTTTATTTCATGTCAGTACCACAGAAGAACATGCTTAGCAAACAGTTGTTTATATTCCTCAGCTGCCCTGCTTAGCAGCTTACCATTCATTTTGAAAAGCCAGTTTCCATTGACTTTGACCTCTGGTACATTCTCAGAGAGGCTTGTGCGTCTCCAAGCTCATTTCTGTCAGTATTTTTTTCAGCCAGTTCCTTTCTGAATCAACATGCATCGCAATCGGTGTGGTCCGTCACTGTGGAGGCTTGTGGTCCAGTCATATATGGGCAGTGACAACCTTAATGTTTTCTCTTATGCTGAGCTGAAAGCAATTAATGGATTAGCACAGCTAATTGCGAGGGGAGGCAAATGCACTGGCTGTTTTGCAAAGGCATATGGCAAATTTTCAGTATAAGCAGAGGTGTTAAAAGACTTTGAGTGCATTTCTCATGAAGAGTTGTTATAGCCTTTGACAAGTGGTCCCCATCACTATGTGGAGTTCTTCTGGTAACATCTAGTAAATGGAGTAAAGCAGTGGCCCAAAAAGCAACCCTCTATAATCTGTGTAGGTTATAAGCCCTTGAGTATTGAGTGTGACTGAGCACTAGCACAGGTTTCCCAGAGAGATTGTGGGTTCTCCATCCTTAGATATTCAGACACCATCTGGGCATGGTCCTAGGCAACCATGTTTGCTGTCAAGATCCTCTGCATTTCTTCGATGGTTCACTGTTTTACAGAAAGGATGCTTCCATTATTTCAGACCTATTACAGGCATTTGCTTACCACACAAGGTATAGCTGTATTCGCAGTAAAGATGATCCTGTTTAAATCTAGTGTAGCACTTACATTGATGGATGTGCACTTTGTTAAAATTTGTATATTGTACATTTCGTGTTTAAAAGTATTTTTCTTCTTACTTTGTCTGGCTATGCAAAACATTTAAAATCGGAAAATGGAAGTAAGGTACAGATAACTATGTTCAGGGAATAGTGATGTAGTACATATGCATTACTGTGGGAGAACAAATGCTGCATATTCACATAGCTTTGATTTGTCCCCCTTGCCTGTTAAAATGAAGTACTGTTTTTTAAAAACTATGTCATCGTGTAGCTAAGTAGTGTATGTATGCAAAGATAGGGCAGTGTTAAAACTGAAAAAAGTTTTCCTACCTTGTCTCAAGATGCCCTGATTTTTTGTACTTAACTGATAAAATTAATGGTTAATGCTTTTTGTACTGCTAGTTCAACATTACAAAGATACCTGCTGTATGGCTACCTTATTGAATTAAAAAAATAGGGATGGCAAAAATATAATATGGAGGAAATCAGGCAAGCATTTGTTCTTTAAAAAGAGCCAACTTCATTGCTTCATAACCAGGTGGACAAAGTCTGTTTTTGAGGAAGTGTATGAAACAGAAAGGAAATCCTTTCCATTTCCTTTGCATACACTTTATGCATAAAAAAGAGTAATGTGTAGGGGACACTTGGCAAATGTTCAGTAAATGGTTGTCTGGGTGTTAAGAGTCCCATAATTCTGAAAACAAATTACAGAAAACCTTCTACTTCAGTTCTTTCCTCTATGTCTATTCAGAGGACACTTTCAATACATTCTTATCTTAGTGCAAATTCTCTTATGTATACCTGCAATGTTTATGAAGATGCCTCTATTTCATCTATACGCTCTTATAAATTTGTCAGGTTTTTAGCTTTGCTTTCAGACCATTTCCGGGTCTTGCCAGACCTTTGTCCGGAAGTGAGCACAGCCAATATACATCTATATTTAGGGCCTAACAAAGTATAGTCTGATTTTTGTCGTGCACGTTATTGTATTCTAGCTACTTTTTGCTGTTGACTTACTGGCAATGATGTTTTATGGTTTTTAAGGTGTTTTCTCGTATAACATCTGTGAAATCTGCAATTTTTTTTTCCTCTCCAGTAATTCCATTGGGAAATGTTTTAAATCACAACCCTTCTGTTTGGTGTGAGCTCTTACACATTTTTCTGGTTAATGTTTCATCCTCAGAACATTCAATTTGTGGTTCTGTGTTAAACACCAGTTCTCATTAGTGTTACCTTTTTTCCACAGACTGGAGAATTCTCAGCTCGCTTCCTCTTGAAGTTGCCTGTAGATTTCAGCAATATTCCTACATACCTTCTGAAGGTAAATTTAATGTCTAAGATGATAGTATTTGTGAGAGAGTATGAATTATTGAAATGTTCTTAGCAACTATTTTGACTTTCCTGCCCTTCTCCTCTTGAGAGCTTTCAAAGTCCACCTTTTCTAAACCTGATTCGATTTTGTTTTGGAAGGGTGAAGTTAGACATATTGTTGTTTTGCATGACATTTTTCTAAATAGTAAATATTCACCTGTCACTCTAAAGGACCTTGCTGGATTTGGGTTCTTGCAGAAGATGGCATGCAATGCGGATGTTCTGGGTTTTTAGACAACATAAGTAGCAAACTCTTGACCATATCCAAGCTATTATCTTGGGGAATAAACTTAAATATTTCCAGGCAAACTCTTATATGAGTCTATGGAATTTCATACTATGTAAGCGTTGGTTTTTTTACTGAACAGTCCACTTGTACCAGTAGTGTTGATAGTAGAAGCAGAAAAACGAACTAAATATACAGTTTCTTAACAGGAAGTGAAAGCAAATACTGATGACATGAACTAAAGGTTTCAATGATTACTTTGCTTCACTGTTTACAATTGACACTAATTTGACCAGATACTTTAGAAAGTAAGACTATAGAGTATAGTGTATTGATGTGAGTTGGAAAAAAGTATTTCTTTCTTTGCCAAGAGGTAAAAAAAGCCATGAAAAAACTTGTGACAAACTACCAACATGGAATAATTTGAAATGAGTCATTGTCACAGCAGGAGGACAATCACTTTTTCAAGCAGTTACTGTGGAAGCCCATCATAAGGTCAATGTTAACTATGTTCAGAGAATGCAGTGAGAGAGCTGAGTTCTCTCTTTCTGTCATTACTGTCAGATGAAGTGCCGGAACTTCTACTGCAGACGAGGTTTGAATTAGCTCATGTTTACCAATGTTTTTTCCTTTAAATTGCATGTCTGCCTCCTTACTCAGCTTTTTACTTTTAAATACTTGGAAGGAACAACAGCTACTTAATGTTTAGCAACCAATGTATTGAGATGAAAAAGTCAGTGTACATCTCATTGCCTCCTCTTCATCTTATTGTTAGAACTGTCTTCAACTATTGTTAGATCACCCCTGCAAGTGTGAATCTTCAGTGTTTCTCCAAATAAGATGTCTCAAGCTAAGAACCATGAAAATAAAGGCAGGCACAATATAATCTAACTGAAATTTTTGGTTGTAGTCTGAGATCGGTATCCTATGATCTCTTTACCTTCTGTAGAGTGTTTCCTGGTGAGTAATGAGCAACTTCTAACTCTCTCAGAAGCATCCGCATATTTCCAGTTTGTTCCTGTGTTCATGGTAGCAGCCCTTCTTCTAGCTGCTGTTTGCCATCAGGGCCTTCTCACTTGGTGGAAACATTTCCAGTCAGATGTAAGAGGGCTGGCCAAGGCCTTTTCAGGAAGGATAGAATTGAGAAGCAGGATGCAGCAACAGTTCACGTGAACTTCAGGATAGCTGTGATATGCTTCTGAAAGACCCTGTGGAAAGGAGGAGTCTGAGAGCATCCAATGTGAACTATGCTGTCGGCTTCTGCCAGGACTCCAAGTGTCGTGTTTTCCAGGAACAATTTTAAATTGGTCAAGAATTTCAGGACAAGTGCATACCCAGTATGTTCAATAGCTTCAGTCACAGGGCTGTCTTATGCACCACCTTCCAACCTCCAAAGCATGCAGTTTCCTCAGAGGCTAAATAGAGGTTTGACTTATGTAAGTAACTGTCATCATGTAGGAACCCTGTGATAGAAACAGATTCTACTTTTGTTTCTTAAGAGTGATGTTTTAATGCACAACAGCATACTCATCTTTACTCTAATTCCTTATCATGTTCATTAAACATCTTCCACCTTCTCTAAACAAGGTTGGTATACTGTGGATAAATCATCAGTGCTCCACAACTGCTTCCTGGTGCATTGTTCACCCTGAGTACTGAATGATTCATTAATCTGAAGGAAAACATGCATTTATTTTGCGTGCATGTATAGATTGTGTGATGTGAAGACGCACACACAGAAGGTAGCAGAGTCAAAGTTTCCCCAGTCTACCTTCACTTTGGTATTTCTAGAATCTTAATGTCTTAGCTTTGGGATTTTAAAATTAATGTATTTTTGTATTTAATAGTCTTGATTTTTACAACAGCAGATATTTCTTGATGGGCAGTGTACTGATGAAAGCCTTAGCTTTCTTATGCAAACTTTTTAGTATACAAAGTGACAGGTTAGCTGTCTTTGGTAGGAAGGTGTTATGTAGTCTGGATGAATAGCCACAGAAGAAATTGTTTATTCCAGTAGTGTTTGTTGACAGCAGAAGAATGGTTTGACTCAGGCTCCAGCATGGATTATGACAGAGGGTGCTCTGTACCAGCCATGGATCTCTTACCTGTGCTGCCTTTAGCTCCTAGTATTCTGACATTATCAGCTATATGAATGTCATCTCATATGACAGCAATATAAAGGCAGGTGGAACTGGAACTACTCTGTTGTGGTTGAATATGCTGTGACTACTCCAAATTCATAAAGCTATTTAAAAAAAAAAAAATTAAGCTGTCCATGCCTTTCTTTTTTTCTTTTCTTTTTTTTTTTTTTGGGGGGGGGTGAGACTTTTGACATAAATAGATATTTGATTTGTTGCAATGAAACCTCTTATTTTCCATCTTGTGTGCCAGTTGTGTTGGCTCCAATGCTACCTGCTGAATTATGGTACATGATAAAGCACCTGTGGATGCAGTGGAAATAATATATTACCCTGAAAGGTGCAAGAGCCATCTGTAATTGAAGGCTATTAACAGATTAATTTTTAACTGCAGAATTAAATATGTTTGAGTTATGTTCTAGTCTGTAGCCTTAAAGTGTGCAGTAGCTTCACATTTGAAAGAAAAAGTATTGTTCTTTATTTTCCAGCTGTTCATAAAGAAATGCTGGTTTCTGGTACACTGAAAAAGCACATTTGGGAAAATACACCCTTTCGTTATTTTTTAATTTACAAGGTTAAACTTTAGTACAAAGGGTTTTAATTGATTGTGGACCTTTGTATCCACTTTTACATTGCTTTCTTATGCAAATCCATTTGACATAAATGAAAATCTTAAGTGGTGAAACAACTGCAGAAACAAGCTGATGGCTCAAACTACTGCAAGGTTCATTGCTGATAAGCCTTTCATTAAGGTGTTCTTACTTGACAAGAGCGTAACTTTGGCTTAGGAAAATCCTTAGGTCTATATCTATTTAGTATTATACTTTCACTTTTCTTTGCTGTTGGATTTTTAATCAGAACATTCATTTTGGCTTATGTTCTTTTCTGTTGTTTGCAACATTCTTAATTTGCACCACAGTATTTTATAAATGGAGGTATGCACTGTACATACTGGTTTTGAGAGTCAGTCCCTAGTTCACATTTGTGCCTCTTTACAGATTCTGTGTATGCCACAGTAATAATGAAGGTAATAGACTTAGCATCTAAAATACCTCATCCAAATTTTGTTTCTTTCTAGTTTTGATTATCTACGGGGACATGTGTTATCATAATGATAATTCATTAAATATCTCCAGCTTGGTATTTTATGAATTGTACTGGATTATGTGACTGTAGTATGATTGTACAGTATGAGTGAACTTTAGAATATGTTGCCAGTGTTGCTGTTGAAAACAAGACTTCTAGATATTTTTCTTGGATTTCCATGTTGTTCTGAGGTTTTAGCTGAGTAATATGTGCCCTGATTACCACCACGTTCTTGTATGTAACTTCTGAAGTATTTATTTCCTATTCCTGTGTACCTGCTTGTTCTGCCCTGGTGAATAGCTCATATCTGGACCAATTTTAGATATGATGCTGTGACCAGCAGCCTTCCAATAACTTCTTGCTATTCAAGTGTAAAGGAAATATGCAAAGCAGACCTAATTTATTTTTGGAGAAGATTTAAAAGAATTTTAAGCCTGTTTTTTTCTGAAAAGCTTTTTTGTGATGACCATTGCATTTAGTGCATATCTTTCAGAACTGAAACAAATAACAGACATTGTCTAGACATATTGCCAGGGGCCAAACACTTGTGTGTAAGACTGTCAACGGAAAAGGTTTATCCTCAAGTTCAAATTGAAAGATAAGAACATATTTGTGTTTTTCCATACTGTGATTTCATCATTTGGAAGCCTGTTAAAAGACTTCAGTGCAACTTCTGTTTACAACGTAGACCAAATTCCAGTGCTGTGAAAAGACTGCAATGCTTGTGTATGTTTGAGTAATCAATTCTAGTACAGAACAGACAAAAGTTAAGTATAATATGCAGGGGTCAAATGAGATCTTTTCCAGGTCAGTTTCTTTGCTATTGTGATTTAGCTGTTTGATTTATTTGGCGGCATTTAAGGTTTATGTTAAATTGCTACAAAAACTAAAACACAAGTATGCTTGTATAAAAAGTAGTACTTGTGCTGTTGAACTCAAAAATTGGAAGTAAATATTCTGAAAAAGTGTATTTTCTTTTGCTTTTAAATTTCATTTGATTTTGTTGGTAGCTGGGTAGCTAAAACCTGATGTGTAGTGTCTTAAGGTCACAAAGTCAATGGCAAGAATTAGAGTCCAGATCTGACTTGATCTTTTTACATTAGTCTGTTTTACACTATGCTGGAAAGCTGCCTCTCAAAAGGGCATACATAGAGCGTTGTGCAGTGTATACTGTTTGACTATCTTCCTATGATGTATGTATGTCTTCTGTATTCAGTAGAGTGGTGGACCCGTACATCATATGAAGCTTGTCACATCTATGGTGCCAAGTGTCATTTTACCTCTTTTACAAATAGGAAAACTGGCAGTTTATATGACTTGTAGGTAGTCCTGAAATATGTAGTTCTCATAAGTCACAATACTTTGACAGTGCTCTCCACAGACATCTTTTAAGCTAATACATAGATTGCTATTGATCTTATGCTACTTGAAACTTTGTGACAGAGGTATAAATTTAACTTCCTGAATTGTATTCCATAACATATTCCTTATCTTGAGATG